ACCCCAGCGGGCAGAGCCCCGCCCCTGCCGGCCCCACCCCAGCGGGCAGAGCCCCGCCCCTGCCGGCCCCCCTCCCTGTGGCCCAGGGGCAGAGCATCTTATCTTCCACGCATTAGGTGGGCTTCTCTGTAGGGGCCATAGAGGGTCCCTGCCGGAGACTGGAGAGGGCATCACCAAGCTGATCAGGTAAGGTGCCTCCTCCTCCTCCCAGACCAAGAGTGCCCAGGCCGCCGGCCGCTCTGCACCTGGGCACCGCCCCACGGGGCTGTCTGGAGAGGACCATGCGATCCCTGGGCACACTGCCCACCCAGGCTGCCAACAGCCACTCATGGAGCGCTGAGCACACACAGACCAGGCCACAGGCTGGCCTAGGGGAGGAAGGGACAGGGGCACAGCCAGGAACCCAAGGCCCCGGCGGTGTCTGGGGCGGGGGACAGCGGGAATGGGTGCTGCCGGAAGGGCAGTGGCGGGCAGCAGGGCCTGGTGCCCTCCCTGGGAAAGCGGGTGCACTGTCCTCTGGCCTGCACACTGGGATACGGGCTCAGCATCTGCCTGAGCCCAAGGCAGGCCTGGTTTCCTGGTTCACAGCCTTTTGCAGCTGATCTCACAGAACCTGCTGGGCACTGCCCCCTGTGTGACCTGGCCAAGCCCGCCAGGTAGAGGCCAGGCACTCAGCTGTGAACAGGGAGGGGCAGGGGCACACCTGTGCCTTCCCTCTGCTGGGCAGAATGCAGGAGCTGTGCAACACAGCCAACTCCGAGGAGGGTCTCCCGGGTCCAACCCAAGCCTGCCTTGGGCCATCTGGAGCCACGTGTCCCAAGGTCCCATGTCCACTTGCCTTTGTGTAGACACGGTGCTGAGGGGAGGGTTTAAAGCCCAGATTAACTATGAAGGTGATGGGCTCCTTGGTCAACAGAGGCCCTGGCCTGGACTGCAGGACAGGCTGGTGACAGCAGAAGTACCCAGGCTACAAAATGCCAGGTGGTCTGGGGCACCGCCCCTCCCCACACCCACCTGTGGAGCTCTGCTCAGCACTGGGAGTGGGAGGGTAGATCTCCAGGTCACTGTCCCCAGGGCTGAGGGCTGCAGGTCAGACACACTGGCTGAGGAGCCATGGGGGAGGAATGTGTCCACAGCACCCCCGGCCCCAGCAGCCTTGCCTATGGAGGGGAGAGCTTCCTCCTGCAGAGTGCTGGGCAGCCGGCCAGAGGGTGAAGGTGGGTTCCAGGACGGGGTCATGAAGGTGGAGAGGAAGGTGGACTCTTCGGTGTCAGGGCCCGTGGAAGGTCATGGCAGAGCACTTACGTAGCAAGTACAAAGCCCAGTTCAAACCCCAGCACTGCGGAGGTGGGGAGGGGAGAGGATGAACCACATATAAAACATTTATATGGTATAAAAACCTTTATTTACAACAAGGTATTTGAACACATTATTCCAAACAGACACAACAGAAATGAAGGAATAATAAATATAATAACGTATGTTTAGAGCCTGATCCCAGTGGCTGCAGACTGGATTCAAAGCCAGCCCAGGCAGGGAAAGGTAAACACTCCTATTTCCATTTAACCTCTAAAAGGCCAGAATTGGAGCTGTGGTAGAACACCAGCCTTGAGTGAAAAAGCTAAGGGGCAGGGTTCAGGCCCTGAGTTCAAGTACACACACACACACACACACACACACACACACACACACACAGCTTAGCAGGCATGAGGTTCACACCTGAATTCCAGCTACTTGGGAGGCAGGAGGATTGAGTTTGAGGCCAGCTTGGGCAAAGTTACTGAAATCCTAATGCAAAATAAAAACAAAGCAGGTCAGGGGTGCCACTTAAGCAGTAAGAGCTAAACAGCCAGAGGAGATGCACTTGCAGGAGCCAGGCCTGGGGCGGGGCCTGGAAGCAGAGCACCACCACGGGCTCTCAGAACACGAACTGGGGCTCTCAGAACACGAACTGGGGCCGGTGCGGAAACCTGCCATGCCAAGAACTTCTGTGTGAGAAAAACACAAGGTGGGGGATGGGCCGCAGGCGTGGGGGGGGGCTGGCTGAGGGTGGGGGGGCTGTTTCTCTGTGGTGACAGGGTAGAGCTGCTGGCAGGCCACTCCTTAAAGGCCTGCCTCACGCTGGGCCCCTCTGATGAGGCCAGGCCTCCAGCCAGGGAACCTGCGTGGGCAGACCTGAGGCTACCCTTCCCCCTTTCCCCCACAGTCGCCATTCTCAACACTTTCGTGTCTCAACAGTTTGTTTTGCCCTGGACTCACAGGGTTACCCCACCTAAGATTTGTAGGCCACCCCAAACCATCTACAAAGCCAGGTGTGGAGGTCTGGCTCGTGTGGTAGAGCACCACGCCCTGAGTCCAGGCCTCAATTCTGGCATGAAAAAATAAAATCAAAACCCAAACCAAACCGTCTAGATCAAGTGGGTCGGAGGCCGCTGAGCACCCGGGAGCCGTGGAGGGGGCTGAGCTGGCTCATCTACCTGATGAAGGCAGCAGTGGTCACCACCAGCAGGGCGGCCTCCAGGCCTTGCAGGGCCAGGAGAGCAGTGCTCAGGACTGAGTCCACCCACAGCACCAGGGTCTGCCAGAGCATGAAGTGGACCGAGAGGACGCTGCCTCCCACTGTGAGGGCCAGGCTGGTGGCCAGCAGCACCTCAGCCTGCATCAGGTTGCCCTTGGTGCCTGGAGAGCAGAGCAAAGAGGAGAGTGAGGTGTGGGCTTCGGGACGTCCCAGCCTGGGCCTCAGGACAGCTCCGGAAGGCTGCCTACCACAGCTATGCCACGGCTGAAGCCTGGTCTTTGAAAGTTTGGTTTCTCTAAAAGGATGGGCATCTGCTACCTTTTCCTAACTCCAAGTTGGATCAAAGGGATTTTGTTTAAGCCCTCCAAAAATATTTTCCTCTGGGCTAAGGCAGTCTGGGTTCTGGAAACTTTCACGAATACTTACAAAAACAAAACTGCCTGTTTTACAACCGGATCATTCATAGAACATGCTGGCTTGAGGTTGCCACCAGCTGACCCTGTGGCCTGGGGTGTGCAGAGGGCCTGCCCTGCCTCAGTTCACCCTGCAGCCTCCTGGGGGCGGGTCTTCCGCCCTGCTCCCCTGCTGGCTGGGCCCAAGGTCTGCAGCCCTTATACCCTCCTGGCAGCACCATCTTGTGGGCAAACCACGGAAACTCTACTCCACCCAGGCGGCAGACACTGGAAGCCCAGCCGGGTCTAGGATTCACTCTGGCCACTCTTGGAATTCCAGGTCTGACAGCACGAGACACATAGAGGCCACTTCTCTGTGTGCCTCCATTTCCTCTCCATACACACGGTGGTGGAAGAAGAGTCTGGCAATGGTGCTGTGCTGCAGGAATTCCTGGTGTCAGGGCTATTCATGGTATGATTTTTTTTTTGGGGGGTGGGTCGTGGGGCTTGAACTCTGGGCCTGGGCACATCCCTCAGCTCTTCAGCTCAAGGCGAGTGCTCTACCACTTGAGCCACAGCGCCACTTTGTTTTTCTGGTGGTTTATTGGAGAAAAGAGTCTCACAGTCAGCAGGGCGCTGGTGGCTCACACCTGTCACCCTAGCTACTCAGGAGGCTGAGATCTGAGGATCACGGATCAAAGCCAGCCCAGGCAGGAAAGTCTATGAAACTCCTATCTCCAATAAACTACTATAAAACTGGAAGTGGCACTGTAGCTCAAGTGGTAGAGCGCTCACCTTGAGCTGAAGAGCTGAGGGACAACGCCCAGGCCCAGAATTCAAGCCCTACAACGGACCAAAAAAAAAAAAAAAAGTCTCACAGCCTTTCATGCTTGGCCTGGCTTTGAACTGTGATTCTCAGATCTCAGCCTCCTGGGTAGCTAGGATGACAGGCGTGAGCTGCCAGCGCCCATCCATAAGGTCTGATCTTATCTGGAAATGAGACATGCCAATGACCAGGAGCACAGTAGGGCCACAGCCCAGGCTGCAGGCAATCCTGGCAGTCAGCTCTGGGAAGGGGATTCCCACATTTTCCCTCTGTACTTGAGCCAAGTATGAGGACATACCCTCAGATGAACTGTGTGGCTTGTAATGGTCACTAGAGGCGGTGGCAGACGTGACCTGAGGGGACAGGAGAGGCTGGGCCTCGGCCTCCTGAGCAGCTCACAGAATGCTCCCTACCTTCTCCCCTAGGCCGAGGCCGTGGGAAGTAGGTGCAGGGCAGTGTGCTGGGGTCCGGCTCTGACCTCCTGAGCTTCTGATCGCTGCACTGTTGTGGAGTATGCTTCCAGATGTGAAGAGGCCACTAGTGTCACCTGTCTCTGGGACAAAGCCTCTGAACACGCATGTAACACTTAACGACACAGTAAGGCAAGGCTGCAATGTGCTCGGTGAACCAGTTTGGATGAAAATGTCTCCAGGAGCCGGGCGCCGGGGGCCACACCTAATCATCCCAGCTACTCAGGAGGCTGAGGGCTGAGGATCGAGGTTCAAAGCCAGCCCGGGCAGGAAAAGTCTGTGAGACTCTGACTCTGATCTCCAATAAACCACTAGAAAGCCGGAAGTGGCGCTGTGGGTCAAGTGGTAGAGCGCTCGCCTTGAGCTGAAGAGCACAGGGACAGTGCCCAAGACCCATGGGAAAAAAAAAAAAAAAGGCTCCAAGAACCACGCCACAAAGAGCTCAAGATAGAAAGGTTTAGCACATTCAAGATGGCACCTTTGTGACCACAAACCCTGTACGGTTTCACAGCCAACTCACCCAGGTACAGATGGGCTCCCTCCAGAACCCCCATCAGAAGTAACAGTGTCAGATCAAGGGCCAGGCAGCTCCAGGGATAGCTGAAAACCTGGCCTGGGAAGAGTCAGAGTCAGGTCAGAGTGTGTGTGTGAGCGTGGGATCCCGCCGCCGCCGCACACTCGTCACTTACTCTTATACACGATCAGCAGAAGCGTGGCTAGGAAGTACAGGGCGTAGTACAGGGCGCTGAGATGGAACAGCATTTGAAGAGGAACTGAGGGGAGCTGGAATGTGGTCAAGGACCTTCAGGCTCAGCAGAATGGCGTGGCGCACCTGCCTGGGCGGCCATGTCAGAGGGGCTGTGATGATCCTACAGGCCGGTGGCCACAAGCTTAGGCTCGGCCTGTGGCTCAGGCTCCAGCAGGTGAACACCCGCGGCTCCTCACTCAGGGCTTCTATTGCTACATCTGGTGTGGTTACCCGAGGGGTCCCAGTGGCTACTGGGCAGTGCTGGACCCGTCCCCTCCCGGTGGACGGAGGTCTAAGCGCCACACCCCGGCTACCATGGGAACTTCCTAGGGGCTGCCACTCCCCCACAGGTTGGTAAAAGAAGACCATTTTCATATTCTTAAGATAAAACACATGTTCCCCTGACTCAGGGGAGAATATTTAAATCTCCAGTAGTAATTTCCGGAGCTCCGCCCACATCACACATGTTTCTGTAAAAGTGAAGCTCAGGCGTGTCATCGTTCTGCCACCTGGCCAGGCTGTGAAGATGAGGCCACCTCAAGATCCCCACAGGACCTCGGCCTGTGGGTGGCGGCGCTGGCACGCCAGGGAACTCTCCTCCCCCCCCCGAAAGGCCCCCGTCTGGATGAAGGAGAAAGTGAGGCAGGGTGAAAGGCACAAAGGCACCAACCCAGCCTGAGGGAGGGGCTCAGGAGGCAGGATACGTCAGCTGCGGGGCGCCACGTCCAGGGGGCCTCTCCCTAGGAAAGACAGTGCCATCAACCCTCTGAAGCTGTCCTGTTCAGGTCTCCTCTGGCCTCACGTTTATCTTTTTTTGGGGGGGGGTCTGGTCGTGGGGCCTGAACTCTGGGCCTGGGCGCTGTCCCTCAGCTCTTTAGCTCAAGGCTAGCACTCTACACTTGAGCCACAGCGCCAGTTCCGGCTTTTTTCTTTTTGCTTATGTGGTGCTGAGGAATCGAACCCAGGGCCTCATGCATGCAAGGCAAGCACTCTACCACTGAACCACCTTCCCAGCCCTGGCCCTGCTGTTATAGACGAGTGCTCAGCGGGCCCCCAGCTTGCCCTCTCTCATCTCTGCATCCGTCCCTTTGAGGAAGATGTGACAACTTCTGACTTCACATACCCACAACTGGGAACAGACTGTACCCAGAGCCGGGCCAGGCAAAAGTGTTGTAGCCTGGGTGCATGCCAGAGGCCAGGCTCAACAAGATGGGTGTGATCTGTGCCTTGGGAAAGAAGCTCCCAGAACAAAACCCAAGGCAACTTTCTCACCGCCTGCACATACATCACACTTAGGTAATTACACGGAGACCTTTTTCTGTTATTAAAAAACCCTTTTTCATCATTGATATTTTGCTTTCTGCTCAAATTTTATTCACTTCTCCACAATAACCCTCTGGAATTTTTTTTTCTCCCAAATTATCCATCCTTCTCCCACCCTGACACAGGTGTGGATTTCCCCTCATATTTGGTTCTTGGGGAAGGGTCCATTTCTAGAAGCACTGTTTCTGCCTGATGAAACGTGACTGGGCCAGATCACCTGTCAGAAGCTCACAACACATCTGTAACACACTTGTAACACATGCATGTCTCTATGTGTGCATTCCACCTGGAAAAAATAAAAATTTGCCAAAACCGCCTATTAAAAAAAAAAGCTCAGAAGTCGTACTGTGGCTCAAGTGGTAGAGCGCTCGCCTTGAGCTGAAGAGCTGAGGGACAGTGCCCAGGCCCAGAGTTCAAGCCCCACGACCAACCAAAAAGAAAAAGAAAAAAATGAAATAAAAAAGCTCTGGGGCTGGGAAGTTGGGTCAGTGGTAGAGCGCTTGCCTTGCATGCATGAGGCCCTGGGTTCAATTCTCCAGCACTCCATATGCAGAAAAAGCCGGAAGTGGCTGTGGCTCAAGTGGTAGAGCGCTCGCCTTGAGCTGAAGAGCTGAGGGGCAGCGCCAGGCCCAGGGCTCAGCCTGCTTCTGTGTATCGGGCAGGGCAGTTATCTGAACCCAGTCTGCAACTGTCTGCCGTTTCCTTTTCTCTTTCTAGGGAAGGTAAGGAAAACTCGAGGTTTGGTAGGCTTCTGTAGGACATCTGACTTCGTGGGCAAAGTTGGACCATCTGTTCCAGAGGTGTGAACTCGAGTGGCATGAGTCTTAAAGTGATAAACCCAGGACTTCAGCAAGGGACTCTGGACGGGGCCCCTCCTGGGGGTGCCTGTGGGAACAGTAACCAAGGGAGCCACCGCTTGCCTGTGTCCCATTTCAGCATTCTGAACCTGATCCGTTCTTTTCCAGGCCCCAGGTGAACTAGGCCACCTAAGTACCTGACTGCAGATTAATTGGGGATTTCCTCCCTGCAGATTCTTGGGTCTGAACTCAGGGCCTGGCACCGTCCCTGAGCTGCTTCTGCTCAAAGCTAGCACTCTACCAGTAGAGTCACACCACTTCCTGCTTCTTCTGTGTATGTGGTATGTGTTAGGCAAGCACTCTACCACTAAGCTACCTTCCCAGTGCCCAGGATCTTTTTCTTAAAGGTCAACCAACATTAGGGTGGGTGCTAGTGCATCATAAAACCATAATCGTAGCTACTCAGGAGGCTGAGATCTGGGGCTCTTGGTTCAAAGCCAGTCAGGGCTAGGAAGTGTATGACACTCCAAATAACTAACATAAAGCTGGAAGTTGAGCTGTGGAGCAAGTGGTGGAGTCCTAGTCTTGAGCATAAAAAGGTCAAGGACAGCCGGGCGCTGGTGGCTCACGCCTGTCATCCTAGCTACTCAGGAGGCTGAGATCTGAGGATCGAGGTTCAAAGCCAGCCCGGGCAGGAGAGACTGTGAGACTCCTATCTTCAATAAACCACCAGAAAACCGGAAGTGGCGCTGTAGCTCAAGTGGTAGAGCGCTCGCCTTGAGCTGAAGAGCTGAGGGACAGCGCCCA